GCAGTACTTCAGTCAATCTGTGATAAAAGAGAAAAAAAGAGATCACTATGGAAACGGCAGGGTAATTCTAAAAGGCTTCTTTATAAAATAAATGTCTGATGTTTGTGACTGTGGAAGCAAAATATTCATAAATCTGTAAGATGCTATCATTTCTGATTTGTTATCATAGCAAATGCCAACTGTTAGCAGTCCAGTCATAGCTTTATTAAGCGCTTTCTTTTGCAAAGCGAATTACTGGTCCACAAGAGAGAGAAGGCAGAAAGAGCAAGACTGTGGGTAGGAAATGGCAGTGCGTCTTATTTGCTTACACTGTACATTATATATACAGTATAATGTATGTATATGTATTTGCATGTGTTAATCATTGATACTTTAGGGTTTATATATTTGGAACACCAGTATGATTTACGGAAATGTACTAACTCAAGAGAGATTGAATACAACTGAGAAAATGTTTTCACTATACCTGGTCTGCCTTTGATCTCTTATTGAAAATCTGTAACCTTCTGACTTCAACACAAGAGATAAATGCAGAAGAGATAAAATTTTCACAGCCCAAAGAGAGTGTTAGGGACAAACAAACAAAGGTAACTGCTGCGGCAACATATCTCCGGGACCTGCTTGGACATCAGTCAGTTGGATTCCCTGGATGAGTTTCAGAAGACTGCTACGCATTGAAGTAATGCAGCATCCCTGGCCCAGGAAAGGCTAAGCAGTGCTGGCATTTAGTGCATTTTTTTTTTTTTTCAGTCCTTGCTGCTGAAGTACTTAGTAAAGCCAGAAGGCAGTAATATATCTGATCAGTTTCCTGTTCTCTAGAATACAACTGCAAACTCAGGCTGTAAGAAAACTATGGTAGTATTGCCATTTAAATATGCCTTTTATTTTGTGTTTTCAATCAAACAGGATAACTCTGAGCTTTAAAAATTATAGATATGCATTTATAAATATTGTGCAATGGAAAATTCAGGTTTATTTGATTTAATTTGTTAATGATTATTAGAAATTCAGGAAATTGCAGGGGCAAGTGTAAAGGTGGACTTGCAGATTGTTGAAGTGGATTTTATGTCCACATGAAGGGATTGTGTCAAGTCTAAACATATGATAGAGAACTCGTTATTATTTTAGGAAAAGAATTATTATGCACTTTAAGCGTATCATTATAGAAGTCTAATTAAAACAGTGTTATTATTTGGAAAATTAAAACTTCAATTTGGAATATAAAATTAGAAGAAAGGATGGCTTGCTCAAATCATCTAATAACTAAAGTTGGTTATGATTTTTAACTGGACCAGTATTCCTAAGAAATGTGGATATTTCTCAAGCCTAGTGATATGAAATCGGCAATGCATCAGTTTGAAAATGTAGAAGCAAATCTCTGAGCCATAAATAGAAATCTAAAAATGAGTTGGTCTGTCATATTGGTTTTGTTCTTTCATGAACACCATGGTAATCTATGGTAATCTATCTATGAAGAAATTTGACTTTTTGAAAGGAAATTAAATGACTTTTAAGAGCTTCCTAAAGGGGTGTAGTATGTTGGGGGAAAGCCAATAAAGCTTATGTTTTAAATGGTAAGGATCTTGCTTCATTTATAATTCATGTTTATCAGAACATGATGACAATACTAACTATAAAGGGCAGGCGGATGGTACAAGAGCAAGATCTTGGATGTCTGAATTTCTCTACAGTGAAGATATTCTACTCATGGCCTTTCCAATCAGTAAGTCTAACTGAACGAAGATTACAAGGTAGGTGTGAATGAACTAACAGACAACTTTGAGGAAATCGAAGGGTATAAACCACACATTTTTTTGTGAATTAATCTTTTTATTTATTTATTTTGTTTAAGTATGTTATCTTTTATTTTGTTATTTTTCTGACAAAGGTTTTCAGCTTTTGCTTCTAGCTAAGAACAGAAAACAGGGGAAACAAACAAATATGTACAGTATTAAAATTGCAGACAAAACATTATAAAACATCTTTTTCTTTTCAGCAATATATATTTATATCTAAACACACTTGAAATGTACATTTGTGCCTAGAGCAAGGTGGGTGGCTGAAAACTCTTCCCACCCATGGTGGGCGGCTGAAAACTCTACCCCCACCTGTGAGATTTCTAATGAGTTTTCAAAGTAATAAGCAGAATTCTCACTGGAGCTAATGAACTACCAACTGGAAGTTTATTTTTCAACGTATCTTTATAATGTTACAAGAAGGTCAATATTGCAGGAATATTTGATAAACAAAAGCTGTCAGTAATTTTTTCAAATTATTGTGCAAATAACACTAATAAATAAGGTTTACAAGTATTACTGCTGTAATTTGTGCCACTGCCTACTGCATAACTCTATTTCTATAAAAACAATTCTCAAAAGGTAATTTGTTGCAGTAATTTGAGGCTTATAAGTTTAATAAATTATATAAAATCGGACTTTGGGCAAACTGGCTTGTTATCTTTTTCCAGAATCTGTAATATTAGAGTTATTTCACTAGCATCCAAAAGATTATAACACCCAGTGGTTGTGGGATTCCAAACTAGCAATTGTTATCTACTGTACAACTAACTTCATAACTGAATATTGATCTTTTGTCATATTTTTCTTACGCTGGATATTTTGGTCAGTAGCTTTACCTCCATCTAACTGATGTAGGCTGCAAACCAATGAACAGCAAACTTGCTTAGGTCCTTATGAAATACATACTGATTTCAGAACTGTACCAATAGCATGGAATACAAGTTGGTATTTAAAATAATTTATATCTAAGAGCTAACCGAATTATCATCGTTCTTGTCAAGGAACTCTTCATTCAGTGTTAAATTTCTTTAAATCCTATAGTAGGAAAGCTACTCTTTTAAATACATAAAGATGAAATGTGTGATAGAAAATATGCTTCAAGATTTATAAAGCAACTATTAAATAAAGCTGATATAAACTGAGTATTTTCTGGGGATGCTTGACATCCCTATAAACCCACACACAGAGAAAGAAAGATATATATATATATATATATATATATATATATATATATATATATATATATATATACATATTTCTAGATCTAAATTATTTCTTGCTAATACATTAAAATTGTATAACTATAAACAAAACATCATACATAACACTAATGAGTGAGTTAAAGGGAATGCTATAGCTGCAACCTTAAATATCATCTGCGTATACCAACTGATCCCTCCATTCTACCTTAGTTTTTTGTGTAAACCAAATCATTTGGCAAAACCAGAAAACAAAATGAATCCTAGAGAATTTTAAGAACTCTTACTATAGCAATTTATGTTTGTTTTTCTTTCTATCTTAAATTGAGAATATTTTTTCTGAAAAACATTCAGAAACATTAGAGTATTTCATGCCAAAAGTATAGTTATATCATAATTTTTGTTTAATGACATACGGAGAACATGCAAATTAAAACACATGGCTTTTTTTGGAGAAATGTTAACAGATCTAGATCAAAAACCCCTGGTCTTTTGAGTAATATTCTTTGTGATACTGTAGTGATGTACTACTAGTTCACAGAGTCAAGGGAGGTCTTGATTAGGCCATCATGAGAAGGGATTGTCAAAAAGATAAAAAATGGGGACAGTCATATATCAGAGATACTTTAAGGACAGGGTATTCCAACATGTGTGGAGTTAAATTAAACATCTCTTGGCTTTTAAAAAGTTTTTAACCCTACTTTTTCAGAATAGAGAATAGTATACTAACTATTCTTGCAAACCTTTTTATTCTATTTTTACCAAAAGGGAATTTTTTAGTAAAATCTATGAAGCAAATCTAGTTTCCTTTTGATTTAAAGAGTGGTTTCATATAATTCTCAAATAATATATTTGGGTGGTATAATCTCTCCGAATCTCTTTGAGAAGCAAATCCACCCACTCACAATTAGAAAAGTTAAGCAGTTACATTGCTTGTGCTGTGGTTCTAATCTTGGTATAGTCCACTTATATAAGGGGTATTTAAGCTGTCAGGTAAGGATTTTGGGAATCATAGCTAAAGCACTAAGTCTTAAAATATATATAGTGAGATATAAGTATTCAGCTATATGAAAATAATGATGCTTGTCATCTTATGACATGTTTTCAATTCTCTTTACAGTTCATATTGCTATAGTACTTGTGTTCAGAATGTGTTTAAATGACTAATCTGGGATTTGCTTCTGATTTATAGTATGGCAAATAAAGAGTAGGTGATTTTGTTTATATTATTGGATGCACTGAATGAAAGCTTTAGGAGAAGGTGAAATATATTAGCTGTAGAACAAGAAGAGTATATATTAAGGAAAAGTCATAACTCATCTAGGCAAGGAAGTTGAGAAATATTCTACTTTCTTCTAGTAGTTTGGATGGGCAGATACTAAGAATACTAAGAAATATCACTGCACACTACTTGGAACGGATAGACTTGAGTCATCGTGGTGCTATAAAGCTATATCTTTATTCAAGTTTCTCAGTGCTATTTTATTATTTGCAAAACAGCATTTGCATAGTGATGATACTGGATAAACCTATTAAAACAAGTTTGGGGTAATACGACAAATGGATTCATCTGAGAAACACTGATTCACATATTTGAGAAATTATATAATAATTTTTTTAACAGGCTGACCCTGCCAGTTTGAGCTACTTGAAGAAGCAACAGGGTATCTATGAAATAGATTTTTTTCAACTATGAAAAGTTTGAGTATGTTTATTTTAGAGTATCTTTTATACTTTTTAATTTTATCATAAAATATGCATTGGAAATTTATAGATGACATTATTTTCTTAAAATATCTATTGTTCTTTTCTTTAAAAATCTGCATTAAAATGGCTTGGCCAAGATTCATTGTTTTGAATTATATTGTTTATCTTTACTGTGGAACATTTTATCTTTTAAAACTGAAGATATATTATAGAACATCTCATGTAATAGGTTCACTTAGGAAAGAGCACATATGACTTCCTTTTATTAACAACAATCCATTGTGATCCTTTCCATGTAAGAATAAAACACTGCTCAAGTCATACTCTCAAAGTCCTACTCAAATTCCACTGCTTTCTTTAAAGGATATGTTAAAACAAAAGTGAATATATACAACAGAATACCAATCTGATCTCAAACTTTCTCTGAAGATTTTGAATGTGCAGTGCTAGGACTCTATCCTGTGAGTTTTAAAAAGTGTAAATCTTCATTTTAATTTCCTCTCATTTTGTCTTTGCTATTCATTCTTTTACTTTTATTTGGAAGGAGAATTACTTGTAGCTTATAAATTCCAAAGCTGAGGGGCACCATTTATAAATAAATTACAGTGGGTTCAATCTGTTGGGGAATAAATATTTTTTCTTGATGAAATATTCATTTAGAAATACAATGAATACAGTTCATACTGTAATGAAAAATTAAAGTTAGAGCTATTATTATGAAAAATTCTTACTTGTATACAGATATCATTTGGAATATAATTAGACTAAACTCAGCAATAAGAAATAGTTTGAAGGCTAAAGATCAGCCAACATACACATAAATTATTTAGACATTTTTCACAGGAGGTATAATTCAGTTCCTCAAAGTACCGCCTTTTTTCTTGAACATAATAATTTTCATTATGCAATTGTGTGTTGTTTTTTTTAAGAATACACGTGTATGCGCGCACACAGACAAATACGATTTCTTGGTTTCTTGTGAAGGAAAAAACATACCTAGCCATGGAGCAAACATTGCATTTACCCCCAACAGAGGTACAGAGGATTATGGAGGGTTAAAAAATAAATTCAGGCTCAGTGGTTGTTGAGATCTGCTAGAGACTGGGAGGCTGGTTGCAGCTCAGTCCGGGGAACAATAGGTACCTGTATTCAACATGGACCACTGAGCAGGGACCAAGCAATCTGGGGAAAGCTTTGCCTATGCTGAGGCTTTCTCTCCGGGAGAATGCATAATGAGAGCTCCACTTTCCCGTGGAGCGGAAGCGAGGAAGGCGAGAAGGAATCCCGGCGCTTGCATGAGGAGGGGCCGACTGATCTTTAATCGTTTCTAGCCAGCCTTGACTTGGCCTGAACGTGAGGTTCTCGGTCTAGAACTCGGCGGGCAGCCTTTCCACTTGGTACTTCAGTCAGACACTATCGCCGCAGAAGAAGCAGCACATGCCGCTTCTCGCCTCTTCCAGACAGGCGCGCGCGCGCTCACGCCTCCTCCCCCCCCCCCGCTGGTCTGAGCAGGCAGCTTAAGTGTCACCGCTATAACCGAGCCCAGTGCAGCACCCGTCGCCATGGTGTGAAGAGGGGGGCTCGGGAGATGACAACAACGAAGGAGCTTCGTTCGGCTTTCAAGTTGGGGTAAGGGAGAATCTTTATTTCTCTCAGACTTTTCGGGTTCTTGAAGAGTAGGGTTTTATCCTATGCTTACCTTATTTTCAGGGTGAAGCTCTTTGCAAAGCCCGGATCGTAGGCATATGTTGTCTATGCAGAAACTGACTTGCCCCGCTTTTTCGGAGAACTCTTCGAATTCGAGTGGCTTTCTGGTTCGGCAGCCAGAATGGATTGTTTTCTTTCTTTTTTCCCCTTTCTTTTTTCAGAAGGGAGGGTATGGTCCTTGGAGCAGAGAGTGCTTACTTGTTCATTAGGGTTCAGAGTGAAAAAATGTTCCTTTCGCCCTGGCTATTCGCCCCAATTTTTACTTTTTTACACCCTTGCCTGTCCTGAGGTCAAAGACTTTTTAAAAATTAATGAACTTCCCTGCCGAGTTCAAATAATATAATATATAAGGGCTGCAGCAGAGGATGTCATGATCTCAGGGATATTTTTCACGCAGGTGTGAAGTTTAAACTTAAATATTCTTTTTCTGAGTACTTTATATTAATTGGAAGTATGCATTAGAAAAGCATAGAAAAATAGCAACTATTTAAAATATTAGCACAATGAAATGTTAACAAAACACATTGTAGTGCATAACAGAACTAGGCAGGTTTTTTTTTGAACTGCATAAATAAATAATACAGTGATTCTTCCTACATCATAGATCTGTAATGGATTATTGTAAGCAATTTCCTAAATATGTAATTCAGAGAAATCCATAACAATTGAGGAAAAAGCAGTTTGGATCATAAATTTTAAGTTATATCTTAAAAAGATGGCTAAGAAAGTTAGCAAAATAAATTGAATTACACAGTGAAACACAAAACAGCTTTAAAAGTCCAATATATACCTTTTGTTATTTATAATGATGAAATAAAAGACACAAATTATTGTCTGTTAGTTAAAAATACAGCTAGGACTAGCTACAGCGAATATTCCTTTTAAAAGTCCTAACAGATTCAGCAAAATACTAGCTGTGGTATAGAACAAGTTATTATCTTGTATTGGTTGTAAAATAAAGCAAAGGAGTCAATTTGAAACCAGTTTGTATTATGATCTGCGAGAGACATGCATTATATTCAATCACCCATTTTAAGTTTAATTTTGAGATCTTTTGTGTTATGTAATTATGCTTCTTCATGGAAAAATAATGTTGAGATTCGATTTGCTTTGAAACATTCATTTCAGCTGGAATGCATGATATTTATTCAATGTGATGCAAGGACAAGAAAATACTTTTTCCTTTTGAATCTGTTGTGATGGGTTTAGGAGGATATAATCTTTTTAATTTTTATTTTCACACCCCATAAAATTAAAGAAAGATTGCAGCTCTTTTTAGTGATTGCTTAAGTCTTTCTAAATGTTTAAAAGACTGTTTTGGGTTGCTATGGCCAGTCTGACCTCTCTGCCATTTTAGGGACTAAGGCAACCCTTTTTTACATTAATTCCATTTACCTTGATTTATGTCTAAAATTGTGACTAAATGTCTTTGTTTCCAAGTGATAAATGTGGCATGTATTAATCATTTATTAGAAGTAAACACTGCTGTCCTACTATACATTTTGTTCTGGGTTAATGGTATGGAACAAGCCACTCTCAGCAAACAACTATCTATTTTAAAGAGCCACTGAAAACTTGGCTGCAGAAGGAGGAAATTGGCATTTACTTTCTCTTTCATCGGTGTTTCGTTTCTGATATTTGATGATGAGACAGCATGTAAACTAAAACAAATGCCTAGCGTTCCATTCTCCAGCCAGATGTGTATTGGGTCAATTTTGTATATGTATTCCATAACATCCCCCACATAGTGTTTGTCTGCTATTTTATTATCACTGTATAAAAGAGATGTAAATAGAAGTATTCTTCTGATAGAGGCTCACTGTTTTATACTAGTTCATTGAATACCATCAGATTTTGTTCTTACAAAAATGTTCACCCTATTTAATGTCTCTTGCATATTAGAAAATCTCTTTCAGAAAGATTTAGTTTTTTATATGTTTTTTTCCCCCAGTACAAACTGCTTATTGAGAAAATACAGCAGGGCTTCCCCCCCCCCCCTTAGATGAAAATTACTGGTTTGACTTGTTGTTTGGGTTTTGTATGCCAGGCTAATGTAATAATGATCTCAGGCTAGCAAAGAAAATGATTTGGGAGTTTCAGATGCCTGAAAAACACATTAATGCTTAACTTTTACCTTAAAACAATTGGCTAAAATTGTAAATGTAGATGCAGCATGGTCCAGTAAAAATTTGATTTAATTAGCAAGTACACAAAGTAATATTGTTAAAGAATATATTTATTTTCTTTGACAGGAAGAAGTGCATGATTAGTCCCATTGAATTTAGGGATCCACTCTATGTCTAGATGCAAGGTATTAGCTAATGGTTTTCAAAACTGATTGCTGTCCCCCAATTGGGCATCAATTGGGAGACCAAAATAAGTAGTCTTTTAATATTGTAATAAGAGCTGTCCTGTTGAATAATGTTTTATGATTTAAGGAATGTTTTGTTTAAAGCACTTATAACCATGATATGATACTTAATTCTATTGTATATCATGTAAAATTGAAAATATTATTGAAGGTGTTTGAGATTTTAGATTATAAAGAAGAAGAAGATCAGTAGATGAAGACTTCAAAATGTTCAATATAGAAGAAGACAAATGTAGTTAATAAATGGCATGCATTAGTCTTCAGATTAACAGATTTTAGAAGTTGGATCTTTTAGAATATTATTCAGTATTAGATGAATTGAAGAAATAATGGGTTTGTTAAGGTTTATATAGGTAGAAATATGATATATGAAGCTTGAAGTGAAGAAATTTAGCCTAATCAAAACAAAGAAAAGAATCCCTCCAGCGAAAGAAAAGCTCAAGAGAGTATAAATTGCACTTTGTTCAAAGTCTGATTACAACTAAACTATAAACTTACCCCAAAAAAGCACACCATTCTATCATGTATTAATGACATTTATTTGGCAGATAGTTACCTTCAAATATATTCACAATGAAATAGTTGTAAATTAAGAGTTTAATAGAATTTTTGGTTGAAAGATTGTCATCATGAAGAAAGACGGGATATCCAAGAAATTCCTAATCACAGTCATTTCTAAATATGCAAAATGGTACATATTTGATTTGCCCTTCTGAAACCAATGCATGAGGTAAAACAACATTATAAATGTATAAATGTGTGAACTTGCAAATGAAAATATATGTACAAAATGTATGTACTAACAACAGGCATGCATAAAAAAACATGCACATGCAACACATACATATGCTGCATTAGGGAAATTGCTTACAAAGCTGCATTGACAAATATATGTATTTTAAAACAAAAATGCATAAGACTGTATATTTCTATCAGAAAGGGATGACAAAGAAAGAGAAGCAAGTTGAAAAAAAGATAAACTAAACAAATTCAAAATAGATCATTTATTCCTACTTGCGTAAACCAGTGGCTAGATAATAGGCAGTTATTTCCTGATATCAGAAACCAAGAGGAAATACTTCATAATTAACTGAAGTACATAATGCTGTTTTTAAATATGTATTGTCCCTCTTCTTGATGATATATGTACATTTTCATCTTTTGTATGTTTACTTAAAAATATTAAGTGATAGAATTCTCTATTAACTGGTGCCAGATACAGCACCATTAATTAATGTAGCAACAGAAGATGCTGTTTAAGCATTTCAGCTGTCACCTTTATATTGGATTTCATCAGTTGCACTACAAATGTATATACCACTAATTATTCTTATGTTTTGACTTTCTGTAATTTGTGAACTAAGTCTTACATTTCCCATTATCTTTTCATCTATGTAGGCTTATACTGCCTTCTGTTTCTGAAGTATAATATTAGGCATATGTGTATTTGTGAAACATGTGGAGAGTCAATTGAGTAGGAGTGTGTTAAAGCTCCTTCATTAAATGAAAGCATATTAAACATTATATCTTGTTAATTTGTTTAATACAACATTGCCAGCATCCCACGTCTGTGCTTTAGAAATGTTATAAATACTACATCTCAAATCTCTGAAGTCAGATTTATATGTAAACATGTAACTTGATGTTCAGAATGCTACCTCCCTCATTCTCTCTGATACATAGCCAAAGAAGATACAACAGAAATACTGTATTCATTCACTTTCTTAACAGAAGTGTTTTTGTTCACACTTCCAATCTGACATTCATTTTAAGCAGGGCAATCCTCTTTCCCATTGTTTTGATTGTTCTGTTTTTTCCCATCCTTCTTTTCTTCTCCAGCTATTACTTTAGGTTTGTTTTCAAAGAGTATTTTTAAATTTCAGGTTCTCCCAAGCATGTTGATACTATCTTCTCTTTTTCCTCAGTGAAGCTATTCTGGCTCCTTTTGTATTGGCACAAATTACATGATTTTATTAATGAGTTCAATTTTTGATTTCTTTGAACTTTTCAGTTCTGTATTTCTTTGGATTTTTTCTGTTTATATGGTCGTGACTTTGTATTCTGAGTGTGCATATAACAGTTCTTTGCAATTGGCTGCCAGGTTAAAACATAGAGCATGGTAATGCCCATTAAATATTAAATATTTAACTATTCTGACTTGAGAAGCCACGAAGTATGACATTTCTTCCTGTTCCTCTTAGTAGTTTTACTGCACTTTTGCTCATTTCTTCTGGAATGAGTAAGGCTCCATAAAGAAAAGATTCAGGCTAGAACACAGGCAAGAAAACAGAATAGTTGTCTCTCATCATTTTTATATAAAAGCACCTTTTTTGGATGGAACCTTGTAGGGTAGGCAAGGCAGGTTGTATGACATGTGTGAGTTCCGGCACCTTTTTTTTTTTTTAGAAAAAAAGCACTGTATAAAAGTAATTATGTACTGTACTGTCACATTACAAATCTTAGTGTTTTGAATTATTGTCCATTAATGCAAATGAGCATTGTGTTATGTCTAATGCAATGTTATTGCAAGTTATTTATGTGAAGACAATTATTGCTTCACAACTACCCAACACAGATTTCCTCCAAATCCTTCTGCTGTTGATTTCTTCCCTTTCAGCCCCATCCATAAAACAAAGCCTAGGCCTTAACTGGATGTCCTATTTTGTGTTGGACGCTAGAAAAGTGCTTTTCTATATAATCATTTCTGCAAATTGTTTCCAGTTTGAAATTCTTACTTTCTTCCTCTTGGCCAGAAAAATACTCAGCCTATGATTTCCTTTTGCATACCTTACTGTATATCTAAATTGCACTGTACAGAAATATTTGCAGTGGAGAGCAAACTCGTAGAATGTAGTGGTCTTCTTGTATTGCCCTTTGGCATACTGTTATTAATGTTTCAATTTAGAGTATTCCTCTGACTACCAGATACCCAATGACTTTCATTAAAACAAGATCTAGAAGGGGAATCATGGGAAATATTATCAATTCTTCATGAAGATCAAAGCACTGAAGTTCTGCACATATCCTTTGAAGCTTATTAAATTGAAATACATAATATTATTACCTAAGGTGACCAACTTTTTTACAACAAAAAGGAGGACACGAATAAATTGAAGAAAAAAATATTGTAAATAAAAGAAACATTGTATTTATTGCAACAATAATACAGAATACACTATAATACGATAAATGCATAATAAAAACCATTTGTAACAATAACATTTTATATTGTAATTATGCTTACATGCCTATTAATTATTTAAATGAGTACTTTTCCATTGAATGAATATTTTTTGTCAATGTATCATCTTCTAACAATATATTGGAAATATCTGAACAGAAATATCCTTCATATTGAATTTTACGCAAGTGCTGCAGCTAGAGTATCAACATTCAATGTCGATTTCTCACTTGTCCAAAAATCTACACGGCTGGATTGCGCGGGGGTGGGCGGCGGAGGCAGGTGTTGTGAGCCAGGTGCTCCAGGATGGCCATGTAGGTGCGCAGGGTGAGGTGGTGACAGCGCAGGTCAGCACTGCGTAGACCAGCAACTGGCGCAGCCCATGGAAGGTCAACTGCCCACCACGCCCCCGCCCATAGCCGCCCCGCCAGAACCGCTGCCCTGCCATGGAGAGCCGGCCCCACGGCTCGCAAAGCACCAGCCGAGCCAGCTCTGGCCCTGCAGCTGCCCCCCAGCACCACCGCCCACCTTGCGCATTCCCGTAGAGCCGGCCCCACGGCTCGCAAAGGCAAAGCACCAGCCGTGCCGGCTCTGGTCCTGCAGCCATCCCCCCAGCCGCCCCCCAGCACCACCGCCCACCCTGCACATCCCCGTAGAGCTGGCCACGCAGCTTGCAAAGGCAAAGCATCAGCCGTGCCGGCTCCGGCCCTGCAGCCACCCACTCCAGCTGTCCCCCAGCACCACCGCCCACCCTGCACATCCCCGTAGAACTGGCCCCGTGGCTCGCAAAGGCAAAGCACCAGCTGCCCCGGCTCTGGCCCTGCAGCTGCCCTTCCAGCCGCCCCCCAGTACCACTGCCCACCCTGCGCATCCCCGTAGAGCCGGCCCCGCAGCTCGCAAAGCACCAGCCGTGCTGGCTCTGGCCCTGCAGCCACTCCCCAGCCACCCCCCAGCACCACTGCCTACCCTGTGCATCCCTGTGTAGAACCGAACAGGGAAGATCAAGAGAAACTTACCGCTCCATTCTCCTCCAGCTATATGCAGAACTAAGTAGGAGATGGTGTAGTTGGGTAGCAGTGAGGGGTGCAAAGTTCCTGCAACTTGCACGTGCAAAGTTTGCCGCCTGGGTGTTTTGGCGCACTCAGCAGCAATTCCTATTGGCTTTTGAAAGCCAATGGGGGAGTAGCACAGCTCAGGCAAAAGTTGAAAAAAAAATCAAAAAATGGTTCCGGAACGCCTTCTGAGCGTTCTATGAGGAAAAGAAAGCCCTGCAGATAAGTCTTCAAATATAGAAAAAGAGGACATTTAGGAGGACATTTTCGAGGGAGGACAGAACTCACAAAAGGAGGACTGTCCTCCCAAAAGGAGGACGGTATATGGAAAAGGAGGACATTTAGAAGGACACTTTTTGAGGGAGGACAGAACTCAAAAAAGGAGGACTGTCCTCCCAAAAGGAGGACGGTTGGTCACCTTATATTACCTGACTATAGATAATATTTCCTTATTTTGAAGAACTATTTGAACTTAAGTTCCCCTTTTTGAAGTCTTTATGAATTTATATTTTTCTACCTAGTTCCTAAAATTAATTATTTGTTCCTAATCAAATATTAGTAATAATATTCCTTCTTGATACACAATGTACATTTTTTCCATTTAATATTCATTATCCATTGTCAATACAATTTTGAATCTACCATATTATATTACCTTTTTATGCATTGTACAATTAGGTTTTTAGCAAAATTATTTTTTATGACAACTTTCTTCTAGTATTTTGTGTGGTTTTTCCTCTCCTATTTCATTCATTCACACACACACACACAGACGTTTAGGGTTCTTTTTATATCTTTGTTATTTTTGTTGCCTAGCCTCACATGAACCTAAGCTATTGGTTAATTTATGGTTCAGTCAAGTGTGTAAATCCAGAAAATGATAACAACCAAGATTAAATATGTAAACATAGCTATCAAGTCAGGACCCTTTGTTAGCAAACTGATGTTTTGATGTTGAGTATAATTGGAGAGCCAAACAAGCAATCTATTTGTTGTTTCCACCCTTTCACCCTGTTTGCCTGTATTGATAGGAAAGATATGACTTTCTTCCCATTCCCTAGAAGAATAAGGTTGGAGTCAGGGATTATAGAGACCATTTGCTATAGTTATGGATTGAGAACCCGTGTTTTCTTTATTTTTTTTGAACAGTAGAGTTTATTACTTTGTGTTATTGTTATTATAGCACAGGTAATCCTCAACTCAAAAATTCATTTAGTGACTGTTTAAAGTTACAGTGGCACTGAAAAAAGTGACATATGACTATTTTTCACACTTACAACCATTGTAGCATTCCCATGGAGTCATGATCAAAATTTACACACTTGGCAACTGACTTACATTTATGATGGCTGCAGTGTCCCAGGGTCATGTGATTACCTTTCATCACCTTCTGACAAGCAAAGTCAATGGGGAAGCCAGATTCACTTAATTAACAACTGTAGTGATTCACTTAACAACTGTGGCAAGAAAGGTTGTAAAATGGGGCAAAACTCACTTAACAAATGTCTTGTTTATCATCAGAAATTTTGGACTCAATTGTGATCATAATTCGAGGACTACTTGTATCATTGTTAGCCTTCCAGATTTGTGTGTCACAAGGTGGGCAGCTGTATAAATCTTTTAAATAAAATAAATAACACTATGAAAAGGATCTATAACTATCCTGGTTGAATATATACTGTCGTTACAATTAGAAACGATATATTATGATCAGCTCTTTAGTTACATAGAACAGAGGTCCCCAACCCCCGGTCCATGGACCTGTACCCGGCCATGGCATGCCAGCAACCGGTCCGCACAAACAAGGAAAGCCCCATCCGTAGATGCAGGCTGCACACAAACCCATGTACTCTCCGGTCCATGGAAAAACTTTTCTCCATGCAATCGGTCCCTGGTGCCCAAAAGGTTGGGGACCTCTGACATAGAATATTGTAAATATGTTCAACAAACTACAGTCCTATTTTGTCTTTAAAAGACACTTATTATATAAGAAAGTCACAAACAGAACAGCCAAAGTCTTTCTTTCAGATTATTGGGCCTTGATCCTATAAACTATCATATATTGTCAAGACCTATCCTTATTTTAAAGTTAATCAGTTCAGAATCTTTTTTTTTTTTGCAGTTCAAAAGATGTAACAGGACGTCTTCCAACTAAATGTACAGTAAAAATATTATATGAATGAGAACCCTGGACTGAGATGAGAATATAAAGAACAAGATTGAATATTCTGGTATGTTTTCTCTATAATCTTCTTGTGAAAGTTTTATGTAAGTTTTTATTTAGTTCTGTCAGTGTTTATTTATTTTTATCCTATATTTATTATTTTTATAAACAACTCAAGACAGCCAACATATGTAATATTCCCCCTTCCTCCTTCCCTCCCCCCACCAACCCTGTGAGGTGGGTTAGGCTGAGAGAATGACAGGCCAGCTGACTTTCATTCCTAAAGCAGGACTAGAACTCACAATCTCCTGGTTTCTAGGTCAGCATCTTAACCACTACTCCAAACTAGCTCTAGATGTTAATCTAGTTTAGAAGTTAACAAGGATAATTAAAACACATTTCTAATTTTCATAGGCTTGGTTCATTCTAACATGTCTCCCATATCCCCTTATCTAATTTACAGATTTAGAAGAGAAACTTCTAATTCTCTAATTCTTGTAATAAAACATTAACTGTAGGTGCAAGTGAGTACAGATGTGTTGTAATATTTGGGTCACATCAAATGTAAACTTCTCTTTAGGGTTAGTGCTTCTTTGGCATGAAGATTTACAATATGACTACTAGGCTCTTGCTTGCCAGTAGTAACTGTAGTGGCTGCTCAAGAGAAGAGAAGGGAAGAACATATAGTTGTTCCATTCTGTAACCAAGATTTTCCCATCATGGAGTCAAAGATGTAGTCTGAAATATTAATAAGTAAATTAACATCACAGCAGGAGTAGATAGGGGTGAATGATTTAGTTAGATTCTTATGTCTGTTATGCTTACATATATTATCTGTAAGATCAGAAATAGATGGGGAACTCATCAAATTTGCAGACGACACCAAGCTGGCAGGAATAGCCAACACTCCAGAAGACAGGCTTCAGATACAGAAGGATCTGGACAGACTTGAACACTGGGCACTAACTAACAAAATGAAATTCAATGGTGAAAAAAGCAATGTTCTACATTTAGTCAAGAAAAACCAAATGCACAAGTACAGCATAGGTGGCACCATGCTCAATAGTATTAACTGTGAGAGGGACCTCGGAGTCCTAGTAGACAATCACTTAAATATGAGCCAGCAGTGTGCTGCAGCTGCCAAAAAGGCCAACACAGTGCTAGGCTGCATTAACAGAGGGATAGAATCAAGATCACGTGAAGTATTAATACCACTCTTCAATGCCTTGGTAAGGCCACACTTGGAATACTGCATCCAGTTTTGGTTACCACGATGTAAAAAAGATGTTGAGACTCTAGAAAGAGTACAGAGAAGAGCAACAAAGATGATTAGGGGACTGGAGGCTAAAACATATAAGGAACGGTTGCTAGAATTGGGTATGTCTAGTTTAACGAAGAGAAGGCAAGGGGGGACATGATAGCAGTATTCCAATATCTCAGGGGCTGCCATAAAGAAGAGGGAATTAAGCTATTTTCCAAAGCACCTGAAGGCAGGACAAGAAGCAACGGGTGGAAACTAATCAAGGAGAGAAGCAACCTAGAACTAAGGAGAAACTTCCTGACAGTGAGAACAATTAATCAGTGGAACAGCTTGCCTCCAAAAGCAGTAAATGCTCCAACACTGGAAGTTTTTAAGAAGAGACTGGACAGCCATTTGTCCGAAATGGTGTAGGGTTTCCTGCCCGAGCAGGGGGTTGGACTAGATGACCTCCAAGGTCCCTTCCAACTTTACTATTATTATTATTATTATTATTACTAAAATGTTCTTTCTCAGAAAATAATGCATTGTATTTTCTTTGAAAATCAAGAATCTGATACCTCTTTTGAGCAAAAATTATGTTAAAATATATACAAATGCAAAATCAGGACAATAAATATTCCTTTCTGTTCTGTGCTATTTTGGTATACTTATAATATTGTGTCCAGTTCTGGGCCATATTTTAGGAAGAACATGGACAAACATGCAAAGAAAAATAGCGAAGATGATAAGGGGCCTCAAAAGAAAAAATACAACAAATTATTGAAGATGTTGGATAGGCTTAGCAGGAAAAAAGAAGTATATATATTAGCTATTAAACATTGTCACGAAGAAGTTCAAAGTTGCTCCAGATGGTAGGATAAGTTACAGTGGGTTTAAGTGATAAAGAAATTTTGATTGGACATCAGAAACAAATTTCTAACAGTAATAGTTATTTAACAATGGAACAAATTGCTCTGTGAAATTGTAGATTCTCATTTACTTGAAATATTTAAACAGAGTATAAATGGCCAACTGTTAAAGATGCTGTAATAGTGAATTTTTGCACTAGCCAGGGATTGGTATAGTTGATCTCACAGGCAACCTCTAAACCTTATATTATTTGATTGTTTAGAGGCAAATTTGATGTAGTAGCATTCATACAATTAGTACTTGCATGAATGTTGAAAATTCAGTTACAGGCATTTTGCCAGTTGATTACTAACGGTAGTATTTAACCCAAACATCAGTTACATATTAGATGTGGCGAAGCTAATTATGCAGAAGATCATAGTCCTTAAACATGTACTGGGAGATGAACAGCTAAGTGATGACAGAAGAGAGAAGATCTCAACGTTTTAGCAAAATATGTTAAGTTACAGGAGATAACTCAAGTCGTTGCTTAGTCTACTCCAGTGGTTCTCAACCTGTGGGTCGGGACCCCATTTGGGGTCGAACGACCATTTCACGGGGGTCGCCAAACAAGGCTGTCCGCCATTTTTTCCCCCTTTTCTTTTTGCCATGCCCCTGGCACCCGGTGATGTATAAGTGGTTGGGGGTCACCACAACATGGGGAACTGTATTATGGGGTCGCGACATTAGAAAGGTTGAGAACCACTGGTCTACTCCATAACTACCATTAATATTTTGCTAGTAGTATAAAGTATTTAGTGACAGATTTTATTTTTCTGGGCTCAAAGAACACCTCAGATGGGGACTGCAGCCAAGAAATTAAAAGACGCTTGCTCCTGGGGAGGAAAGCTATGGCAAATCTAGACAGCATACTAAAAAGCAGAGACATCACCCTGCCAACAAAAGTGCGTATAGTCCAGGCCATGGTTTTTCCAGTTGCAATGTATGGCTGTGAAAGTTGGACCATAAGAAAGGCTGAGCGCAAAAGAATTGAGGCCTTTGAACTATGGTGCTTGAGAAGACTCCTGCGAGTCCCTTGGACTGCAAGGCGTTCAAACCGGTCAGTCCTAGAAGAGATCAACCCCGACTGCTCTTGAGAAGGCCAGATCCTGAAGTTGAAACTCAAATACTTTGGCCACCTAATGAGAAGGAAGGACTCACTGGAAAAGCGCCTAATGCTGGGAAAGATTGAGGGCAATAGAAGAATGGAACGACAGAGAATGAGATGGCTGGATGGAGTCACTGAAGCAGTAGGTGTGAACTTAAATGGACTCCAGAAGATGGTAGAGGACAGGAAGACCTGGAGGAACGTTATCCATGGGATCGCAATGGGTCGGACATGACTTCGCAATTAACAACAACAACAACAAATAAAGTATTAGTAAGAAACTAAATTGCAATTAATGTAGCTTATTCCATAGCTTTCTGTCATGACACAATTTTAACCTGATTAATTCTTAATGTAATGTTTCCTAGAAGAGGTGTAAAGTTGGGTCTCAAATTTGGTAACTATAAGATAGTGCCTTAGAACAGAGGTCCCCAACCTTTTGGGCACCAGGGACCGGTTGCATGGAGAAAAGTTTTTCCACGAACCGGAGAGCGTGTGGTTTTATGTGCTGCCTGCATCCCGCGGATGGGGCTTTGCTTGTTTGTGCGGACCAGTTGCTGGCATGCCACGGCCTGGTACTGGTCCATGGACTGGGGGTTGGGGACCCTTGCCTTAGAAATTAACAAAATCAACCATTAGTAGACCTTAAGGACAACATTAAAAAGGGTAGCTGAAAAAAGTGGAAAATATTTGCTATCACAGCAAACATTATCTTTATACAAGTTGGTCATATTGATGTCTGGAAAAACAGATTTTTCATTCAAATGAATGAAATACTATGTTTCTACTTGAAAAAATCAGAATTGTGGCATATGTTCAAATTACATTCCTTATTATGGGTCACCTTTAGGGTTACAGATAAGAGGCACTATTTTTCAGTGCTTCCGTTTTTTCCTAGGTGAGAGATTTAATCAGTGATGAGAGAGAGTGGGATGCTGCAGATTTTGATTAACCTTAGCTGTTCAATATTTATATGAAACTATTAGGAGAAATCATCCATTAATTTAGGATGAGATGTTAACATATGCTATTGATATAATTCCACACCCAGATAAACCTAATATGCATTGGAGAATTTGACCACATTTTTAAAGATTTGTGTGTGTGGGGGGGGTGCTGAATGGAAGAAGCTGAAATTGAACTCTTGCAAGGCTGGGATGCTATCCGAAAATGCCTAACTGTCAGTCAGCTCCTATACTGATTCTGAATGAAGTTGTTGAATTTAGATTTTGGAAAAGTTTCTGAATGCAATTCCAAGAGTTGTTTTTAACTTACAAAGCCATGGCTCCTAAACTGTGCTATGGTATTCTGACACCCACAGCAAACTCATAGGAGTGCCGCAGAATATTTTAGTATTGAATAAATAGAAATATTAGAGTTGACTGTGATGCCCCAGGATGCCCTAGCAATGAAAAAGTCGCTGAGATGTTAAGGAAACCAGGAACGTTTGGGAATCTCTGTTATAATGGATAGCATGCTTGTCTCTCAGGTATTTCCAGGAATGATTGCTTCAAGTAGAACTGACCCATCCCATTAACTTATACTAGGAAGGCCTCTTTGCATTCAAATAGTTAATGGGGCAGAGAAAGTCATGTTTCCCCACTGCTGTCTTTTTTATTTGTAATACCTTGCCCACAGAAGCTTGGTACATGCCCACTTTGTGGGCTTTCAGGAACAGCATAATGGGACTGGAGGTTAAAACATATAAGGAAAGGTTGATGGAATTGGGTATGTCTAGTTTAATGAAGAGAAGGACGAGGGGGGACATGATAGCAGTGTTCCAATATCTCAGGGGCTGCCACAAAGAAGA